AGTTCAATGGATTCTAAAAAAGTGTCATTCGCAGGCGTAGAAGCTAATGGGCGGCGCCGGTAAACTGTAAATTGTCAAGGATAATATCACACAGACACCACAGAGAGGCTGATATCTAAGGCTTGCAGGAAAACTGACGGCTCATTGGGAACGCATATGGACTGCTGCAGACGTTTGAGGACGCCCTACTCGGTCAACTTTACAACTAAAAGTGAAAATGTTATGTGACGTAAACGTTTGGAAAGCATGGATCTTGATGCTGTGGGGATTCGTAGGATTGTGACCCTCCTACAGCGGTCGGAGATAGTAGAAGTGTGAAGAAATTCATTTACAATGAAGGCGATTGTCCCAGCTTGGGAAGCAGTACCCAGTCTGAAGAAGGCTGGATGTAAGTCCCCCGAGCATGTAGTAGAAGACAAATGGCAGCATTTTGAAAGGTCTAAACATCACGATATGAGAATGGTTCCAGTTTACAAACATTGTGTGACGACGCTGAGAATGTCGTATGTCCTATATCAGATGAATGCGCCACTGAGAACACCTGCGTCCGCATACAGCTTCGACCGTGTATTCTTCCTGCCTACTGAAGTGTTGTACTACTTGTACGTACGTCCCTTATGTTGTCCAAAGGACTTTAGTGAGAGAGAGTTCATCCTTCCTTTCAAAACATAGAGACTTTGAGCAGGAAAGCAGTTATTTGAAATGGCATTCATTGTTTGGGTGATTAGGGGGGCACATGTTAGCAGAGAAAAGATGATGAGAACCATACAGGGGCCTGTCTAAAAGATTCATTTAGGAGAGAAACATTTGTGCGTGAGACGTTAAGAAAGATAAATTTGATTCGCTTAGGTCGATAGAGAGGTTTGTATGTAATGAATGAATAAACTCTAGTTTGAAATAAGAGTGAGCAATGATCACTGACAAATGGAAGCTATTAGTACTAAAGAAAAGAAGCGTTCGATGGTTGGTAATTACTCTACCCAGTGTAGAGTTACCTCTTGTGAGGGAGTGACAGGGTTCTCTCATACCTCGTGATGAAAGCGGATACGTTGCAGCTAGTATGGTTGAAGTCATCAACCATTATGTGCAGAATAACATCTGAAATCGGGGCATTACACGTTACAAATAATTCGAAAACAGACATACGATCCGACTGTGAACAAAAAAGTGCTATAAACAAGTTAGTCACAATTGTATGAGTAAACGGGAAAATCGTGAGTGACCGTCCACAGTTAGTCACTCGATATCATTTGAGCAGTACTGAAAAATAACATGGGACTTCCCACACCAGGAAACGTTGACATATGTCGCAACGCNCGATCTTTTTTCGTCCGCTTCCACGAACGTATCGGTAAGCCTGAAAACCGTCTAGTGGCACTGGAGAGTCATCTGCATCTTTATTCAACCAGGATTCTTGAACACAGACTGCACACGTGCTTGTGTGAATTCTGGATTAGAGGACATTAATAAAATCCGACATTTTGGGAATTAGGGAGCCGGTGTTGGTGCTGATCAACTACTGGGCAGTTAGTAATTTTTGGCAGAAGGGTGCAAGTGAGAGCAACTTGCTTGCTTGCGTTTTGGTCCAGCCTGGACATTGAGAAGCTGGAGCCACATAAACCGCTGAACCATTGAAGCATGTGGTAGCATGGTCCAAACAAATAATCTCATTCCGTGAGTAACTACGATGCACAGTAGTGGATGAAAATGTGGAAATTCCCACAATGTGATGGACAGTTTGTAAGTGTTCCTCAAACCAAAATAAAAGTGTGCATTTATGGACACAGAAATACAGAACAATAGTAAGAATTTACTGAATAAATATTCGTTCAGCTTTGTGAATCTGTCATTTGGCATGTAGTATTCAGTATAGCGTAGTCAATGGGCATTGCCATCTGCAATTAGAATACTCATGGTAATGAATTTGCAAATACTGAAACATTCAAATTATCTTCTGGAGAATCTGTAACATGTCAAACAGGTAACCACACTGAGTTGCCTTTCCCTTTTTCAGATGTAGCCATGCCGTCAAAGGCGTTTCACTATTCCGGCAGTTGATGTTTCGTAGTTTGTCATAAAGGTGTAACTAAAAGGAAACACACTGAGGAAAATAACTCATTTAAATAAATGATGAAACAGTGTCTCACGAACTCGGGCTGTGTGCAAATACTGTTATATTATATTTTACTGAAAGCAGAATTATTTCGTATCTCTTGTATTCCAGCTCAAACTCTCTATATATCCTATTTCAATGCGGTTGGTCATAAAGTGAATACATGTGGTTAACAATTCATTGTCTTCCGTTCCATTCACGGTCCACGTTGAACAAGACGTTCCTGTTAAAGTCAAATTCTGTAATTTCGTAGCAAAAAGTAGAATGACGCTCAAATGCGGATTACTATTCCATGGAAATTTGAATACAACAGTAAAAAACAAGAGTTTATAATATGCGACCCCACCATTTATCTCCTTATGTGAATGTGCACGCTGCACTCAGGTTGTCAGGCGTTGTCAGGCCAATAAACAACGCGGTAAGAAAACACGAACTTCAAACACAAAAGCCAAAAGCAAATGAGATTATTCCTGGAGTCATTGATAATGCAATCACCTATTCATAGTTGCTGCATAAGTTCGTCATTGTATATGGAAAGTTTTTTTATGGGATGTAATCATGTCTCATGCGCTGTTCAAAATCTGTCCTCATCAACTGATAATACAGAAGATTTTTAAATAGCATTATTCTGTTGTTGTTCTGGAATGAGATGATCGAATTATACATTCTTGGAACATACCATAAGTTTCACTAATAGAGTAATATTATTTGTTTTGAGGAAAAGTAAAGTATTCAAATTGTCACTTGATTGACTGGTTTTCAATTATCGAATAGGAGACAACGATCGGATTATTTCTACCCAAGTTTTATGAACATCGTTTTGATTTTGGAATTCACAAATATAGATAACCCTAATGATAGGGTAGATTACACAAATAAACGGAGGCTCAGAGAAATTATTAGGCCGTTTATTAAATGGTTCGAGGTCTATGCATGCTATCAAAGATCGACGCCGGAAAGAGATACCGCTTGTTGAACTTTATTAATTGAAATTGGAAAATAGATATGAATGACACTCGATTGCTTGAAGCCATTTTAATGTATTCTAATGAAAACGTGTTGAGGCAGTCAGCCTGCATGATAACTGGCGGGTGCCATATGCCTCTGCGAGTTGGATGGTTAAAGTCGAATCTAGAAACATCATTGCTGTCGGTGTGACATCCCACCTCAGCTGGTAAAGCGTACAGAGAACAAAGCGCAGACCGTGACCATGCGTGAGGTTACTGACCTTTTCACAATCGACATCTAAACTTCAAATCCGCGAAAAAACAATTTCAACTATCCTACAGACCTGGCTTATCTAAGCACTAGCCTCAG